TTCTATACATTAACAGGGGTAAGTAAATAAAGATTTTCTCATTCGGCTACATAATGAATGTTACATGATTCACTATTAAATAAAGCGCTCGCAGGCATACATCATTACATATAAGAGAAAAGGTTTAACCCTTTTTCAACAACGACATTCTGCCAACAAGTAAAAGGCCCCGTGACCAGCACATAAAGAAGATCCTCGATCTTGAACCACTTCTCGATATCACCTAAAAAAAGATTAACAACATGGGATGAGCATAAAGCCCGGTAGGGATTTCAATATGATCCTAAACAATAACAATATATAGATATCTATGATCATGAATATTTCATATCATACAATATAAATAATGTGACGGTTTGTAATCAAAGTATACTCATATATAAATTTTTTCCAAAAAACGTCCAATTTGCTCAATAATACATAACACTCTCTCTTCCTTCTCTTACATTATCCATTTCATAAAGAATATATATTAACAACGCATTTTCGATAACGTGTTCACAAAACCCAATTACTTATCATTCCTTACACTCCCAACCCATCACATACACCCATTACTAACACAATATCCAAATTTCCAAGCCCTAAGCCAAGGGTAATAAAACATTTCCATAACCCGTTCGACATGCAAATGTACATACAATACCTTTAATATAAAAAGAAAATAACGTACATATCAAGACAGCTACACAATCATATGAGACAACTCGACCTTATCAACCAAACCACTACCACATATAATATACATAGATAAACTGGTTCAACACTGAAACCCCAACCCATGCTCTATCTGCTTCAAGCGCGGAAAACCAATGATGCACCTTTCCACAACGAAACACTAATTTACCAGATACAAGCTGGAAGGTAATGGTACTTCTACCAATTTACCAGACACTGGTTGGAAGGTAATGGTACCTCTGCCAAGTTTTCCAAGAGCTAGTTGGAAGGAACTGGTACCTATCATTCTAAGCTAGAATGTAATGGTACCTCTCATTCTCAGCGCAGTATACATTACCCACCATCACAACATGTAAAAAGGATATATAACCCAAGTGTAATACATACACATAATCTATTCAACACAACAGTGTCATCCTTCACCGATGACTGAGGACAAAACCTCTAACCATATACATAATACAATAATTCAGTTCTCATGTTCATTCTTAATTTACAAAGAGTTATGATTTCATTTTCTTTCCAAAATTAATTTGCTTATTTTCCAAGTTACAATACTCCAATCTTTATTCAAAAATCCATTCATTTTATTTCACAAAACCAAATCCATGGATATCAAAACTGTAATGGCCCAGACATGCATTTGATTAATTAGACATCTAATTGCAATGTTATGTGCTAATTGATTATGTGTTTGATGAGAAATTGTATGTGAATTAAAAGGATTTGAATTTATATCTGTTGATTGTAGGAAAACCTATTGAAATTACAACTTTAAACTGAAAATTGAAGGTCTTAGAAGCACCAGAAACCAAAACCAAAACCAATTAAATATTTATAATCAGCATGAAGTTTTGTAAAAATTTGATTCAAAATGAATTAATTGAATATTTTATATATATATATATATGGGCCTTAGTTGAGCCTTAGCTTCAACAAAAATATAGTCTGAGAGAGAGAGATTGAGAGAGTTCTAGAGACAAGAGAAAGAAGGAAAGAAAGTGAAGAAGAAGAAGAAGAAGAGCAAGGGAAATTAAGCTTAAATCTTCAACAAATCAACTAACAAAGGTAAGATTAATTTGCCCCTCTAATTCAAGAAATGAGATGTCATCCTCATGATCCTCTAGAATTTGGGTTGAATAAGGAAGAAATCAAGCTTAATTAGTGGAATTATGATGTAGTATATAGTAGAAGTTGGTTCAAGATTGGTACATACATGGCATATTCCATGAAAATCATGACCATAAACTTGTTCGCTTGCATGGCCTCTCATGCTTCAAAGGAATTTATGTATATAAGCTTGGGTTGAAACTTTTTCAGTTGTGTTTCTTGATTTTGCAATGTTTCCAAAGAATTGAATCTCTTGTATGGAAATTGAGCTTCCATTTGATATTATGATTTTATTCAAAGTAAGCTATGTTTATTCAAGATGTTTTTGAAGAGTTTTGGGTCTTGAAATGTATAAGATTGAGGTTTAAAGGTACAAAACTCAGCTCAAGCTTTACAGTAGAAGTTCAGACTACTAATGAACCCAGACCACACGTGCAGCCTGAGGCCCTGCACATGCGGCCCAACTGCCCTGTTCCAAAGTTGTGTTCTGCAAAAATTACATATGCAGGGCGCACATATGATGGAATTTCCACACATGCGACCAGGCCCTCTGCACGTACGATTTTTAGGGCGGTCTCGGATTCGTTTTCTTTCCGTTTGTCCAACTTTTGGGCCTCTGTTTACATGGTTTTCAAGTGTTTTTCATATGCATTTGCATGCTATGAACACAAAAGACATGAAAGGAATCATAGGAATAACCGAACAAATGAAGAACGAACGAAATGAATAAGGTTAAAACCGACTGAATGAATGATACGTGATTTTGAGATGTTGTGCTTGGTTATGTGTCTGTAGGTTGAACTATTGAAGTGTATCATCCGGCCAAGCACTGTGAGTAACATTACTGTAAAGACATGTTTATATAAATATATTTGAAATACTATTTGATAAGTTATGTTTTTTTGAAATGTTATTTTGTGTTTGTGAATGTGAATGAATATCTAGTTTTGAATCTACTCTGGCATCCAAGGAATGGTCCAAGTCATGGGGAGCATCAATTTAATTCGGGTCCATGACAAATAAGTGATTACGAGATCTCGTTAGCCACAAGATAACGTGGTGATGTGTTTAATCGGTATTCGGAACCGATTACTCTAGTCGGAAGATGATATGTTCTGTTCTGTTGGATGTACCACTATTATGTTCTGATATGAGAATGATTCTGATATGATTTGTGTTATGTTTAAGAGAAATGTATGGAATTCGTTCACTAACCTCTTTATTTTAATGTTATTCACTGAACTTGAGCTCACTATTTGTATGTATATATGTATAGGTGAGCGCCCTGGAGATCAAGCCTAGAAGGGTTCCTTTAGCTGAGCCATCCGTTGAAGCCCTATTGAGTTTTTGGTGCCTCCAAGTTGGGGCTAGGTTGAGAAGACCGTTGTATAGTTTGTGATCATATTGTCGGGCTTTTGTTATACGTATATATGTACATGAATGATGTTTTTGTATATGATATTATGTATGTATTGTGCAGTAGGTAAATTAATGTTCATATACATTTAATTTGTGCATATAAATACACAACTCAATGGACTCTTTGTTGTCTTTATGTTATAAGCTTCCACTAGCCTCTGTTATTTTGATTTATACAGAAAGACCTTTGGTAATCTCGGGTTACTGGCCAGTCACCTCACCGACCCTTACGAGGCGGGGTTCAAGTCGTGACAAAAAACATAACCTAACTCAACTCAACTCATCATAATTAGTCCAAAACAATCCTAATATCATGGCTAACTCTTCTTTTTAGCAATTAACACATTTACACAATCCATATTAAACAAAATACAACAATTATTCAACTTTACTCCTTTTCAATTTATTAAGCCAATAACATTAAATTAAGGTTTTTCCCCCCTTTCAACATAAACAGGATAAACTACTCCCCAATTAACCAAACGATAACTAGTTTAACAATTATAACCCCCAAGTATCAAACCCTAAATCCCCTTTCATGATTTTCAAAAAGTCCATAATAAATATGATTTTTATGCAATAAAATCTACCACATGTCTATCTATAGACGAAGTATTAAAGAGAAGTAAGGAAATCCCTACCTCTAGCAAGAAGAAGAGAAAGCCCGAAAATTCAACTTCGACGAAAACACAATCCACTCAGATTATTGTAAAGCTCTCTTTGTGCTCTACGTTTTGGTAGATGGAACTAAAGTGAGATTTTAAGTAGAAGGAGATGAAATCCAAGGTTGAAAGCTTGAGACTTTTGAAAATGAGAGAAGGAGAGAGAAGAGAGAAATGATCTAGATTTGATATAAAAAAAAAAAGTGACTTTTTAAAGTGTTGATCCCGAATAGACTGCTCGAGCGATGAAACTTGCACTTGAGCGTCAAAAACACAAGATCGCTTGAGCTAAGAAACCTTCGCTCGAGCATAGAACACACACTTTCAGAATCTCAAACCTGCAAAAGTAATGGATGAATCACAAGACCGCTCGAGCGAACAATTTGTCACTCTAGCGATGAAGAAGAAAATTTTCAGATTGTTACAAAAAATAAGATTATTCTTTTTTTTCTTTTTTTCTCCCTCCTCTTTCGGGGCTCCTCCTCCTAGCTTGCTGCTGCTACTGCTTCATCATTATTATCTATAAAATGAAGTAGTGGTGCCGTCGAGTGGTGATATGTATACAGCTATCCACAAAAACAAAAATAAAAACAAATGGTCAGTGAGCATGTTAGGGCGCCTTGGTTTTCAATCAAGCATCATCTATTGGTTCTCTTTTGCCAAGAATATTGTCGTGATAGCAGCAAGGAAAAAAAATTATTTTTGGACAACTTTCAAAGCTTCGACGACATGTAAAAAGAGATAAAATAAGACGTATGATGGGTGCAATGAAAATTAGGCCATGAGATGAATATAACAACACGAAAATGAGACGAAATAGAGTTATGACAAGAGAGATATAAAAGTTTGAACAAATGGATTTGAATCTGAAAGAAGGAAGAAGATGAAATGAGACAAAGATGGACAAATGATTTATATTAAAACACAGATGAAATTCTAGAGTTTAATTTGTCAAAATTAAAAACTCTGAAGTTTAAATTGAAAAACATGGAAAACACTAATTTTTTTTGTTAATTAACTCAAAAAAGAAAAATTTAAAATAATCCTTCAACCAAATAATATATATCGCATGGACTTCTACAATCAACCCAACAAAGAATTTATTAGTGGAAGAATAATGTATTTATCCTCTTTTCTAACCGAATCACTCCATTCAAATCAAACGCGGATTTTAGCAAACATGATGGAACAAGTAAAATTTTCACGGTTTTGCAATGGAGTCGAGGCCGCCTACTTTCAACCCCTTCCAGCCTCGTAGTAGGCGTAGGGTTCGTTAAACCAACTTTCCAACTACCTTCCCTGTAGGACCCATACATATGCATATCTAACCCATCGCCACACTACGAAGATCTGTCTGGCGGATTCTCCAATGTCAGCCTTCCTTTGAATATATTCATTCTCAACCCACAAAACCCCCCAAAACAAAATCACACCAGAAAGCCGTTCAAATCTGGAGCTTTGATCGGTAAAGTTTCTCAGCTCTTGTTCATTCACTTACTGTTTTCTTTGCATTTGTTGTTCTTTCCAAAGCATTGAACATGGACATCCCACTCTCTCGTTACCAAAACCTGTCATTATATCAGATTCAGAGTATTTGCAGATTTCCATATTCATTTCCAGACCCCAAAAATTTCGGAGAAAAGTCTTTGTTTTCTGGGTATTCTTTGTTTGATGGAAGTAAATGGAGAACTCGATTGTCCCATATCAGGTGTTCTTTTGTAGAGCAAGGGTTGAAGCCACGACCCATGATGAAACCTTCAAAAATCAACCTCGATACAGAAAAAGAAAACCATTTGGAAGTAACCCAGACCAGGAGTTCTAGTTCAGAACTGTGTGCTCAGATTGAGAAGTTAGTTTTGTACAGAAGGTATCAAGAGGCACTCGAATTGTTCGAAATCTTGGACTGTGAAGGTGATCATGATGTGAGTAGTGGTACTTATGATGCGTTAGTGAATGCCTGTATTAGTTTGAAATCAATTAGAGGGGTTAAAAGGGTGTTTAATTACATGATTAATAGTGGGTTTGAGCTAGATCAGTTTATGAGGAACAGGGTTTTGTTAATGCATGTGAAATGTGGGATGATGATGGATGCGCGTAAATTATTCGACGAAATGCCTCAAAGGAACTTGGTTTCGTGGAACACGATAATTGGGGGACTCGTGGACTCAGGAGATTACATAGAGGCTTTTCGGTTGTTTCTAGTAATGTGGGAGGAATTTTCTGATGTTGGATCCCGCACATTTGCTACAATGATTCGAGCATCTGCTGGGCTGGAACTTGTTTTTCCCGGTAGGCAGTTGCATTCATGTGCTTTGAAGATGGGTGTAGATGGAGATATATTCATATCTTGTGCTTTGATTGACATGTATAGTAAGTGTGGAAGCATTGACGACGCACAATGTGTTTTTGATGAGATGCCCGAGAAAACTACGGTTGGATGGAATTCAATCATAGCAGGTTATGCACTTCATGGATATAGTGAGGAAGCTTTGAATATGTATTATGAAATGCAAGATTCTGGTGTTAAAATGGACCATTTTACATTCTCAATGATTATAAGAGTGTGTGCTAGGTTAGCTTCATTAGAACATGCAAAACAAGCACATGCCGGTCTAGTTCGTCATGGTTTTGGGTTGGATATAGTAGCCAACACAGCACTTGTGGACTTTTATAGCAAATGGGGAAGGATAGAAGACGCTAGGAATGTCTTTGAGAAGATGCCTCGCAAGAATATCATATCTTGGAATGCCTTAATTGCTGGATATGGTAATCATGGTCGGGGAATTGAGGCAGTTGAGCTATTTGAGCGGATGCTTCGTGAAGGAATGGTTCCCAATCATGTTACTTTTCTTGCTGTTTTATCTGCTTGTAGCTATTCAGGTTTATCAGATCTTGGGTGGGAGATTTTTGAATCAATGTTCAGGGATTACAAGGTTAAGCCCCGGGCAATGCACTATGCGTGTCTTATTGAATTATTAGGTCAAGAAGGGCTTTTAGATGAAGCTTTTGCTTTAATACGAGACGCTCCCTTTCACCCTACGGTGAATATGTGGGCTGCTTTGCTGACAGCTTGTAGGGTCCATAAGAATTTTGTGCTAGGAAAATTTGCAGCTGAGAAAATTTACGGAATGGGACCTGAAAAGCTTAGTAATTATGTTGTGCTTTTGAATATATACAACCGGTCTGGGAAGTTGGAGGAAGCTGCTGGAGTTGTCCAGACCTTGAAAAGAAGGGGTTTGAGAATGCTTCCTGTATGCACTTGGATTGAAATCAAGAAACAATCACATGTTTTTCTTTCTGGAGATAAGCAGCATATCCAAACAAGAGAGATTTACGAGAAAATAGACAAATTGATGTTGGAGATCTCAAAGCATGGTTATGTTCCCGGGGAGAAGTTTTTGCTTCCTGATGTGGATGAAAGGGAAGAGAGGATGCTATTGTATCATAGTGAGAAACTGGCAGTTGCATTTGGCCTCATTAACACTTCTTCTTCTACGGCATTGCAACTTGTGCAGAGCCATCGAATTTGTGGTGACTGCCATAATGCAATTAAATTAATAGCCATGGTTACTGGACGAGAAATTATTGTTCGGGATGCAAGCAGATTCCATCGTTTTAAAGATGGGAATTGTTCTTGTGGGGATTACTGGTGATGGCAATAATTTTTTTGTTGTGGATAGAAGAATTCTGTAGCAAATGAAATTGTACGTCATCTTTTCTGTTTCTGTTTCTCTTCTTTTCTTTTTCTCTGTCAGAAATATTTACTTATTCGTTAGAATACATTTGTAGTTGTAGTTCTCCATGGTCATTAATAGAAACTTTCTTCCTTTTTTTTTCCATGCGAAGTTAAAAAAATTTTGCTGTGTGTTTTTTGGCTATTTAGTTGTTTCTCTGGAGATATCACCGAGTTATACCATGTGATCTTGCAACCATCCAATGGTCCACACCCACATGGTATGACTCGGTGGTATACATATCATTTCCATTCTTCATAACTAGATGGTTTGGCGTGCCCCTGCAAGCGTTTATTTTGCTCATGTTAACATATGAATATCCTTGAGTGTTTGCAACTATCTTGAGAATGACATGATCATCACATGAAGATTGTAGAGCCATATGAACCTCATCAATTGATTCAGAATGCATTTGATTTTTTGTCAGTATTATTGTTCTGCTAATTAAACTACATCAAATCTAATTAATCTTAAAAATTCATCCTTCCAAATGCTTAGGGTTTACATTACTAGTCACATGTTCACTACTGCTCTGTTGATCTGAAAAAATAGAGTGGAACAGCCCCTGCTAACTTAGGTTTTGATCAGTGGTTCACTTATATCGAACTTACTCTATCATAATTTACTGAAAGCTCACTCTTTATTCCCTCAAAAGACTTATTGTAAACAATTCTGTTCTACAAGAAAACCAATATATATTTCAAAGTTGTAAGCTTTGTGACTCAGATCCAAATTTTCAAATATTGCAACATATTTTGATTTCTTTTATCAAAAAGCATACAACTAAAATTGAAAAGGAGGAAGAAGTTGCAGAAGACATGGTTAATTTCTTTCTTATTGTTGTGTACAAAGATGAGATGGCTAGTTGTTGAGACTTAAATGGATTCCAAAGTGAATAAAGGTGTGTTTGAATTTATGGATTTGAGGTCAGGTGGATTTCAAATCCGAGGTTCCAAATTCACTGGTTCATTTAAATCAGCCCATGAATTTGATGGCCAAGATGAAAGGATTTCAAATAACACTTTAGGAGTTATTTGGCAAATCCATGTGAACAGACTTCTCTCACCTCTCAACTATCAATTCCTCAATCGTTCATCAATCTCTCTCTTCATGGAACTACGGATTGTATGATAGTTTTTCTTTTCTTAGGGTTGGTTTGGTCCCTCACTCCATTTTTGAGCTCAGAGGGTGGTCTCTTTCTACCTTCTCTAGCTCAAACAGTGTTCTATTACTCTTTCTTCTTCTTATTCAAGATTTTATCATATAAGGTTACAATCTTTGACTCTGGATTTGTTTTTGCTGTAATGAGTATGTTATTGTCATGTTTAATTGATTTAATTAGTCTGCAATAAGTTCAATTGAAGCATTATGTCAGAACATCAATGTGATTATAGTCTTGATTATCTCTGACAGGGTTGCATGTTGATCAATTTGTTGTAGAACACTAGGAACATTGAGAGTTCTGTGCAGCTCTGCTCCAGATGAACATTAATATTTCATCTTATAGATATTACTAGTATGATTTGGGATTTTAATTTTAGGCAGCAGTTTTTTTACCTATTGTCATAAAGCATTGTGTTTCAAAAAAACTGTCTTAAAATATCCCAGTTAAAATATGTGCTAACATAGTCTGCTTTATGAAATGGTTGAAACATGGGATGAATTCATATTCAAAAATACAAGCCCCAGGAATATTTTCTTTTTTCTGTCTAGGTGGATTAAACTGTGTAGAACTAAAGTGTGAAGTGTGATTGTGGTGGCACTTGCTGTATGGCGTTGCCCTTTTTGCGATGGACGGAATAAGAATAACTTTTTTATTTTATTTTATTGATTGTTTATACCGTTTATGAATCTACCAAACAACTGTCCTTTAACTGAACATTGAATATGATAACTTCTATGGACTCAAGTTGCATCATTGGCAAGACTACCAGGAAATTGTGGCACACAAAAGTTGGTTTTGTTCAATTGGGTAATTCAACTTTTAATGTTGTCTGCGTAATCACTTCAATTTTTTTTACCCCTTTCTATAATTATTTATACTTCTCTAATTCGTTGAGCTGCAGGTATGAGATCACAGCGATGTTCTTTCTGATTTAACGAGGGCAGAGAGAAGATTCATGGATCAATTATTTTAGGCTCCTCTATAATTTTCTATGCTGGTATAATCTTCTCATACTTAGTTTTCACTCCAGTATCCTTGAATTTCTTTGTTAACTATGCAGAAGGGGCTGTCGGCGTGGAGTCACCGTGGTCCATTGGTCAATACTTTGAGTTTATTCTAGTGCTCATGTTCAACATTAATATGTATACACACATAAACATCTCTCTATATATCTACGTACACTTCTTTTGATTCTTTGGAATTTGAGTGGTCTTACAAACTTTGCAGGGGAATTTTCCTTAATTGCAGCAGTTTGATTTGCATTTCTTCTAAAAATCTCATCAGGTAAGGCAACTCTTGTGATTTGTTTACTTATTGGCCCTTTGTGTTTGATAATGACAAAATTTTGAGATTTTTTAGATGTATTTTGTATTTGTGGAATGATGATTTGGTAGTGGTAATCATGGACATATATTTAATTCTGCTCTCACCACAACTATATTTAATTCTGAAACTTTGGCTTAACTAACAAAAAAAGGTTTGTAGGTTTGTCTCTTTTGAGAAATTGCGACTTTTTTCCTAAATTTTGAAATAGGTAGGAAAGGGAGAATATAATTTTAATGTTGATAATGTTGTCAATGAAAATTCAATGTAATTAAGCAACCAGTTGAATTGGGCAACATCGGGCGGCAAATTTGTATTCAGTTTAGCTGGTGCCAAAGTGGTGAAGAATCTGAAATTCAAAAATTTGTTAATGGTCTGAATGGTGGCTCTGTGTTTACACCAGAGGCCAAAGTGATAGCATTTGAAGATTCTTGGCAAATTTTTGGCTTCAAACTCATTCAAGTTCTAGTGAAAATGGGGTTTGTAATGGATTCCCTCAATTTAGTTCATGAAGGCATAACTTTTGATTTAGGTCGCAGTGAAATACCTATCTAAATCAACCTGCCATTGTATAATGTTCAGATTTCTAAAATGCTCTGAAATTATTCTAGAAATGTGAGGATCATTTCAGTACTTGCAATTCTGTGATTGCAAATGTCTTCCTTGATTTTGTATATATCCACTTTTTTATTATTATTAATATATATAGTAAGAATAAGCACCAATTACACCCCTGAACTGGTATTTTTCATCTTCTTAGCATGACCTAATGGTTGCGAATGACCACTCTTGACACCTTCTGATGACACATGGAACATGAAGAATAATGTTGGTTATATGCTTATAATGAGACTATAGAAATGCTCCTTTATTGAATCTAACTATGCCCTCAAAGCTCATAAGAAGGCAATCTCAGTACTTAAAATATCCTGAGAATTTGTCATTGCAAAGTCTATTATATGCAGTAGAAATTTCAGTTGGTGTGGGTACTGTGCTTATTAACTGCATTGCAGAATACCTTGGAAGATGAAAGCTGGGTTTGGAACGCATAAAAGCTAAGAAAGAGAATTCTATGTACACAAAGTCATAAACCCAAAGGATGCAGTTTCCATAGTTCACAAGAAATAGGACTCTTTGTTGGCAATTCTAGTATTTAAGTCACCACCATCAAGCCTTCCACAAAAAGGCTTAATCCTAATCCTTGATTAATTGTCCGAGCTCAGGCTCATCATAAAATAACCAAGTGGCAGGATGAGGATTACATCAAAAAAACAATTTCATAGATAACAACAAAGCACAACCCCTGAATAATTGCCGTCACTATTGCTCTTTATATATCTTAAATATAGGTAAATAGCATGAAAAGGAAAAGGCTTACTTCAGATGTCTATGTTGCTCCAGATTCTGAATGATCCCAATCATCAAACAGAGTGCCTTTTCGATCTTTGGAATTATAACCCTGCATCAGAAGTGAAAAATGATTGACACATGAAAATAAAGTAGCTGAGAACTAATTTCTTAACAATTTCTACACCATAATAGAGAAGCAAACAAATAAAAGTGCACTCAACAGATAAATTAAATTCTGAATGGAACTTGTTTGTGCCACATCAATTCATGTCTGATGCCAAATAGATAGGTCTAACCATCCATGACATTGCAGATCAATGCAAAACTAAAGTAGCATCTAAGGCAGCACGTAGATAATAAATCTAGTAAACAAGCAGGCACTGCTGTGAATCTCAAATTCCTTGACGTGAACCTTCAGTATATCATCTTCTAGCTTTTGTATTAATCTTTGTTGTTCTTTAACCTTTGCTGTTAGTTCTGCTATCTTGCCTTCAGCTGCTTCCAGCAAAGATGTCTTTTTAGAAAGTTAAACCTGAAAGCAGTGAGGAGGCATTAATATAATTGCATATAATTAATGGAAACTTGTAAAAGTACAATTACGGTTGAAATTTCAAAAACATTAAGCAATGTTCCGTTTTTCGGTTCTTACCAAGAAGTAGAGACTCGGGTTTGCTCATCTGTTCCCCACTAGTACCTACTTCCCAATCTTCAGCCTCAATTGCATTATAACCAACTGCCTATAAATAAAAATTTTAAGTCATCATAGAAGGGTGGTGAGAGAGAAAATTCTCCGTGATTTTAGGCACGTATAATGTTACCTGTTGTAGATGATTTTGGTCCACGCTGGCGGATCCTTTTTCTCGGCGGCCGTTCATTCGAGGTAGAGGAGTCGTCGGTAGATTCCATCGGTCGTCGAAGTCTTTCGTTTGTGGAAAGGGAGAAGGGCCTTTGGTGGGCTGTGGTTCTCATCAGTGATGAAGTAGATTGGTTTGTAACGAAGCTAAGGGTGGCGTCGCAAGAACTAGACAATCTGAAATTCTTGGGTCGTCTTAGCGGAGGTCATCAAAGTCTAGCAATATGGGTTCATGGGGAGGTGGGAGGAGGGTCCTTGGTGCAAGTTGTGGTGACGATGGGCTCACGGAGGGAGCAGATTTTCATACCCATGTCCATTTTTGGCGATGCTTAGGAGGGAGTTGCATTGGTGCTGGAGGGGTTCAAACTGGGGGATGAGTGGGTGTCCCGATCTGTTAGAAGGCACAAACAGACAGTTCTTGTGAAGTTTTTATTACCAGTGGATCAGTGTGTCTCTGACAAGGAAGTCATAACACCTGCCTCTACGATGGAGTGGTTCAGGCTACTTGATAGGTCCTTGGTGGGTAGGGTGGGTGGAGGAGGTGCAAAGGGGGTGGGTTTTGGGCCAATGTGTGATTGGGTCAATCGTTGGTGGAAGTTTTCAAGCCCGGTGGAAGTGCGATCGGTAAGGGGCGAAGCTTTCTTGTTTGTTTTTTTGACGCGGCGCGAGGCGGACTCTGTGTTGACGCGACGATGGACGTTTGATGGGTGTGATCTGAGTTTGGAATGGTGGTCGCCTCTGGCTCTTTGTGCTTCAAGTCAGACGTCGGCTTCAGCAAAGAGTGTTTGGATTCGTCTAATGGGCTTGTCTTTACATCTATGTGGTGATGCAGTGTATCGTGATGTTGGCGATCAGTGTGGAGGCTTCATGGAGGTTTGATGAGTCCTTAGCTGATTTAGGTTGTGTTTGATTGCGTATTCGAAACTCTGAATCTTCTTCGTCACATATCTCCATTCGATGGGGTTCGTGGCAGTTCTCATTTTCGATGTGGGTGGAGGCAGATCCGTCGATGGCGCCGTTTTCGCCGCTGGTAGGATTGTTTGTTGGTGCGTCATTGGATTTGGTAGGGCGTGATTTGGGAAGATCTGATCAGACTGAATCGTGCAATTTGGGGGTAGATGTATATCTATGGAGATTTGGGAGGTTTTCTAAGGATAAAGGCCAGCTGGTCTGGTCAGCTTTTGTGAGGCCCATTTGGGAGAAAAACGGAGTGGGCTCTAAGGGTCCTTTTTCAGCCCAAACAATCTTAGGTCTAGATGAGCGCTAATAGGCTTTGGCTTGCAAAAATGGTCTGGGTGTCTTAGGCCTTGGGACCAATTTGGTGGGCCAGCAGGCCTCCGAGGATGAGGTGAGGTCTTTTGGGTCTGGTCAATCAAACCCAAACACATTGGAGCAAATTAACCTGATTCTGAATCTTCTTCCCACGAGGGAGTGTGACAGTTGTGGGTTTCGGCTGCTGATCGATTTACAAGGATCTTTGTCGTAACATCCTTTAGGGCATGTAGGGTTAACGTCGCCTAACTTTTGTTAGGCAAATGATGCTGGGAGTGTGGAAGGGTCGCTGAGTCTGGGCTCGCCATCGTTGGAGGGCAAGTTGTCAACAGGCTAACAGTGATGAAAAGGTGGCTTTGTCAACTGGTTGGGATGGGCGCACAGACGTGATGGGGTTGACGATACTCGTTGGGCACATATGGCGGCAGAGTTGGCTATGGTGGTTCGGCCAGAGGCTCGTTTGGCGATATTGAATTTGGTAAATGCGGTGGATGTTGATGTTGAGCTTGAGATAGGAGTGGACTTCTAGGGAGATGATCCTTCGCAACCAGAGGAGGTTTCGGCATGGGTGCTGTCACGTATTTTCAAGGTTAGTCAGTACCTGGGCATTTCCTTTGAAGGTCATGAGGTTGCGGCTTTAAATTTGTTTTCTGTAATAGAGGAATCCTAGAGAGGGGAAGCTCCTTTGGGATAGTAGATGCGATCTGAAGGTCAGAAACAACAGAATTCTAGGGAGTTGCGTAATTTGGAATGCTCTATAAATTATGATCGAGACAAAGGGGGGAGGGCAGGGGTAGTCAAAAGGGCCGTGAAACTCAATTATTGTTGCCATGCATTTAAAAATTTTATCATGGAATGTGCGTGGTTTGAATGATAGAGGGAAAAGGGTCTTGGTTCGATCTCTATTACGTAGTGCCAGGGTGAACGTAGTGTGTCTTCAAGAAACAAAGATGGAGTGCATTGGAGGGGAGACTGTTAGGGAGCTTTAGGGGGGCGCTTTGTGGATTGGACTTTTTTATCAGCTTTGGGGGTAGTAGGGGGTGTTTTTCTATGCTAGGATCAGTGGGTGGTGGAAAAGGAAGATGTGGAGGTGGGGGCTTTTTCACTATCTTGTTTGTTTTGCTGTGTTGCAGATAATTATCGTTGGGCATTCACCGGGGTTTATGGCCTCGTTAAATGCTCGAATCGGGTTACGTTTTGGGAGGAGCTACAGTCTATTGCTTTTCGGTGGAGGGTTTCTTGGTGTATGGGTGGGGATTTCAATATGGTGCGGTGCATGGCGGAGAAGCATGGGGTGACCTTAGTGTCTGGTTCTATGCGAGCTTTTTCTTTATTTATTGATGAGATGGATTTGGTGGACTTGCCGCTTCATGGGGGTGGCTATACTTGGTATGAGGGCAGGGCGATGTCCCGTCTTGATAGGTTTTTGGTGACTGGAGATTGAGAGGGGCATTTTTCACAGGTGCTTCAACTACGGTTGCATCGTCTTGTATCAGATCATTGGCTAGTTCTGTTGGACAGTGGGGGGATTACTAGGGAACCGTTGCCATTTCGAGTTTAGAATATGTGGCTTTTGTCTGACGGCTTTAGGGAGAGAGTGAGGGGGTGGTGGGGCAGTTATGCCATGTTTAGGAATCCTAGTTGTCGTCTAGGCCAGAAATTGAAGCATCTCAAGTCAGATCTGCTACAGTGGAATAAGGAGGTGTTTGGCAAGCTGCAGACTCAGAAGGTGAATATTTTAGTAGTATTGCAAGGGCTGGATGAGAAAGAGGATAAGGGTATCTTGTTTGAGGAGGACATGGCTCGTCGGGATGCAGCTCAAAAGGATTTTGGTCATGTGGCTTGTATGGAAGAGATTAGTTCTCGCCAGAAATCGAGATGTTTATGTTTGAAGGATGGGGATCGGAATACGAGCTTCTTTCACCGCATGGCAAATGCACATCAGTGAGTGAATCAGATAGGGAAATTGTGGGTGAATGGGGTGGTGTTATCATCCCTAGAGGAGATTACGAGGGCCATAATGGTTTTTATAAGTTTTTATTTTAGCCTGTTGAGGGTGTTTGGCGGCCAACGTTGGATGGGGTTCCATTTAATGTTATTCCAGGGGCGGATTGTCTTTTGTTGGAGAGAGCGTTTTCAGTCGAAGAGGTGTTTGAGGTGCTGCGGAGTATGCCTAGGGATAAGGCGCCTAGGCCTGACGGTTTTTCCATCGCTTTTCTCTAGCACTGTTGAGGAGAGATGAAGGAGGATGTGATGGCTATGTTTAAGTAGTTTCATCGGACGGGACAGTTTGAGAGGAGCTTGAATGCCACTTTTATTTTGTTCATTCCCAAGAAAGGTGGAGCAGAAGATATTTGGGACTTTTGACCTATCAGTCTTTTGGGTAGTGTGTATAAGTTGTTGGCCAAGGTTTTGGCGAATCGGCTCCAGGGGATGCTAAAGGAGGTGGTGTCTGAGTCTCAAAATGATTTTATGGATGGTAGGCAAATTTTGGATGTGGTTTTGGTGGCCAACGAATGTGTGGATTCGAGGTTGTGGCAGCAATAGCCGGGGTTAATGTGTAAATTAGATATTGAGAAGACATATGACAATGTTAGTTGGGAGTTTCTCTTGTATATACTGGAGATGATGGGTTTTGGGGCTAGATGGCGGCGGTGGATACAAGTATTTCCACTATGCATATGTTTGTGTTAGTCAATGGCTCTCTAGCAAGTTTTTTCCCCACATATAGTGGCCTTCGGTGGGGTGATCCTCTATCTCCCATTGCTGTTTATTCTAGTTATGGAGGCTTTGGGGTGTTTGTTGTCGAGGGCAATTCATGGCAGTCTGTTGCAGCGTTTCGAGGTAGGTTCTGGACTATCGTCTTTGGTCGTCTCCCATCTTTTTTATGCAAATGATGCTCTTATATTTTGTGATGCGGATGCTGGTCAGATTGGATACCTTCGATGTGTGTTGCTGTGTTTTGAGGCTGTGTCTGGTCTTCAGGTTAATCTCTCAAAGCCTGAATTAATTCCAGTAGGAGAAGTGGTTCGGCTTGCGATGTTGGCAATGATTTTGGGTTA